AGCGCAAAGCGCCGTGAGGTATTCGGCGAGTCGCATGAAGGGTGGCTGCATCCTGCTNGTGAGGTATTCGGCGAGTCGCATGAAGGGTGCGCTGCATCCTGCTAAGGGTGTTCGGCATCTTGTGCTTACTTCCTTGCGTACGGATGACAGCTGCGTATGACTTAATTTATTTTCTGGTGCTTTCACTTCCGGAGACAGTTGTAAGCACTGTGTAAGTGCCTCGAGGGTGCTTGGCCATTTTAACACAACGTGGTGCGATCATCCCCTTTGCGCGGAGTGAGGGTTCTCGACCCCGCACAACATGATCTACTCGACCACCATAATGGTAACCGCAAAAAAAAAAAACGAGTTAAAAAAAAACATGTACCCTGTTTGCCGAGTTCACGACGTGAATTGGCTTGTTTTATTTACAACGTCGTTGCCAAGCGACGAAAACCCAAACCGGGGGGACCGGAGGCGGGGGTTGGGTGTTTGTCGCAGGCACTCGCGAGACCTTGGCTTGTTGGCCGACTCGTGACACAAGCCAGAAGAGTCTCGAGAAAGCGGATCGGGGGAAGGGTGCTTTTCCTTTGTTTCGGCCCTTCCAACATACGATAGCGTCAGGTATCGTTTCACGTAAAGCATAACCGATAACATTATCGCCCGCCGTGTTGCTAGCTCCCTTGTTGATGGAACACATGAACAAGGCGGCGGCTTTCTAGCTCCACACGATGCAGGTACAGCACGTAGAGACATCAACAACGTCGGTGTTTTTCTGGCGACCACGATTTTGCACCGCAGGCCTGCGCGTCGAGGATGGAATACACCCTCTCGCAGTGCGACTTCCAAAACCGACAGACTCTGGAGTGGAGCTACGGGGAAGGAGACACCGCCCTGAATTGCGAGACGCCTCTGCCCGAAGGGGGCTCCGTGAAGTGCGATCATGTCGAGTGGAATTCAGGTAAGGGATTCGCGTCTCCTTGGTGCACACACCCTCCCCTGTTGTCGGTGTTGTTGCCTCACGTCTCGCCATTGTTGCTGGTGTCGGTATGCATACCGCGATTTTTTTTTCGCATTGCTGTCGTCGGCTGTCTTGCACGTGTGGTGGTGGTGGTGGTCGGTGTTGTTGTTGTTGTTGGTGTTGGTGGAGTGGTGGGTGTGTCGGAGGGTGTGCATGTTTGGTGATTGTTTGGTGTCCCCCGACGGCAGCCGTCCTGCCTCAAAACGAAGCTAGCTGTGTCTGCCCTGCCATCAAGCCGACCGGGAACGCTCACTGTCTCCCTCCCTCGTCCGTGTGCCTTGGACATCATCTATGTTGGCGGCGATGGCGGCGGCGGCGGCGGCGGCGGCGGCGGCGGCGTGATGGCGGCGTACTCTGCCCCTGCACCTGCATCATATTCGCATCGCGTGTCGCGCTTGGCAGGCGAGGGGATTGCAATCGGGGTCCTGGCAGGGGTAGGGTTGGCGCTGTCGCTGTGCTTCTGGGTGGCCCTGTCGCGTTACAAGCAGTCCAGGGTGGTGCGCCTGGGCCGTCCGGCCTTGTCCAAGACCTTCGTGGTGAGTTGAGGCGTAGGTCAGGGTATGGGAGGGGATGGTGTCTTCACTTTTGCATGCCTTTTTTGGTAGACCAGTAACCGCGCGTCCTCGAGAGGACGCAGCATTTGCGAGGGGTGAGGAAGAGTTGCAGCAGCACTGGGGGTAGATGTTCGAGACCTCGCGTGGTGCGGTAGGGTGGCAAATGACGTGTGTTTCGATTTAATTGTCAGAAGCACATCCCACACCACGCAGCCACGCGCAGTATCAGCAACCCGCATGCCACACCATGCCGCAGGATACCACGGCCCTTTCGCTCCGATTTTGACACCGCCTGTACGGTACGTCGCTGCTGTCTTTTGCGGCGATTGGGTGGTGCGGGCACCCCACCCCCGCAGGTCGGCATCGGCGTGACCTTTCTGTCTATCCTCGCCCTCCTCGGGGCCACCACGAACCTCACCTGCGCGTTGAGGCTGTGGTGTTACACCGCCGGGTTCGACCTCGCCTTCGGCGCGCTGACGCTCAAGATGCGGAGCGCGTGCAGCGCAGCCGAGGTGAGTTGGAGAGAGGGAGGGCGGGCGGGCGGACGGCGGGGGGATAAAAGGAATGTCCGACCAGGACGATGGGATGTGGCTCCCGCTGCTGGTTTGCCAGGGTGGCGGGTGAGCGTTTGGGGTGGGGGGGGTCTCGTTTGGTCACTCTCTGTTGACGGTTGTTTAAAGGGGAACGGAGGCGTCGGTAGGGAATCAAAACAGCTGAAAATCGATCATCCTCCGCTTGTTGTTTTCTGTAGCCGCAGAGAAGGGCATGTGCGGGCGGGTTTTCGACGACAATGTTTCCTGCCTTGTGTCTGTAGTTGAAATGCCCTTTTGTCTAGTACGTTGGTATCTCACCGCTGACGATGGGAAGTCGTCCGTATTCGCTCGACCAACCTCTCCCTTGGCACGCCGGTGTTGACGACGACGACGACCGCGATGGATCATCACGACTGCGACGGTCAGAGCTCGATGAAGCAGGCGTACAGCATGAAGCTGTCTAGGCGGATGGTGCTGCTGGTGCTGTTGCTTGACGCGGCGGGGGACGTGGCGGTGCTTAGCCGGTGGACGGCGTCTTTTGGGTGAGGGAACGAGAGAGACCGCGGGACACGTAGGCGCTTGAAGCCCTTTGCTAAAAAGAATGTACTCGTTCAACTCCCCACTGCTTTGGCTACACTCACTCTGAACCTGGCACTGGTGAGTCTGGCTGGACCACAAGTGAGTGTGGCAGAGGTTGGTTGCTGTCGCGAATGCTGTATGTTGGTACCGCGGCACGCTGTTTCGTCGGTCCAGTCTTGTTCGTTTTGCCCCGGTGAGGACGTCCACCTTGCATTGCTTCGGCGAGCAATTGTGATGGGCTCGTGGTGGATGCAGGCTGGTGGAGGTGATGGTGGTGGAGTCCTTTGAGAGTGATGCAGCTGAGTCCGTCGATCGGGCAATTAGTTCCAATGCACCCGGCAGCAGCAACACCCGCAGCAGGTGATCGGTGCAGCATGTCTCAACACACTCGCGCTGATTTGTGTTAAGACTTGCCCTATCTTCACGACATGTTGTCTGGGTTTGGGTGGGGGTAAGCTTGCCTTGTGCTCTCGCTCGGCAGCCTCCCCTCCCCCCCCCCCCCCCCCCCCCCCCCCCCCCCCCCCNGCTCCTCCCTGCTCACGGCCGGGCGGTTGCCAGTGTTTGTCGTTCGTTCCTTCCTTCTCCGCGCAAAAGAAGGTGGTGATGAGTTCTCACGTACCTGTATTTCCGCCGTTTGGCGTATTGTTTCTCGTACTCCCCCTCACGTGGCAGCGATAACTGCGGCGCGGAGTACCAGTCCGTGGGAGGAGGGGCGTTCATCAGACGCAACTCGTGCATGTCTTGCAGCCACGGGCTCTTGTGGGCTTGGATTGCTCTGAAGGTGAGAGCCAATTCGGGGTGCCGATATATATTTTGTTGGCTGATTCTTTGCTCCTTGGTGAGAGCTTTTTCGCCGGTGGGAGCCACCTAGACCAGGCAGAGGGGGGGGGGGG